GCGCGCAACCCTCTGCGGAGATCGTGCGTGTCGAGTGCGCGAAATGCAGGCGAGAGTGCAGGGGTAAGAAACAAGTCGTGCTCTTCCATTGTTTCGGTGGCATACATCGCAGCCCCGCAGCACTGGCCGCGATGTTGATGGCCAGTGAAGGTTTCCAGGTGCAGGAAGCCATTGAACAGATTTTGTGGCGCCGACCTTCCTTGCGCCCATGGAAAAATCGAGACTATATTCGATGGGCACTGAAGCATTGGGAGACTTTGCTGTCCAAGCATGCTCGCGCGGCTTTTGATCTCTGAGAGGCTCGGGACATGGACGCCGTTCTGCGAAAGTGTATCACCGCGACGGCATGGACGCCGTTCTGCAGAAGTGTCGTCGCGCGGACTAGACGGCCCAGGCAAACAAAAATAGGCACGGCGCCACAGTGAGCTTCAGTCTCTAATCTCAGCAAACAGCTTAGCATACGAGACATCTTATTGGTTTCTCCCCAAAGCTCTTGTTTTTCTGGCCAGGTATACTCTTCTACCAGGAGGCGAGGACGGGCGAGGGCAGAAGACGAAGACGAATACCTCAGTACCCACGCTTGTACACTGTCGGTGAGACTTGGCGCTTTAATCGGCGCGGTACCACACTGAGCTTCAGCCTTTACATTCAGTAAACAGCCTAGCACAAGAGACATCTGAGAGGTTTCTCGCCGAGCCTCTTGTTTTTCTCGCCAGGTGTACTCTTCGACAAGAAGGCGAGGACGGGCAAGGGCCGAAGACGAATACCACAGTGCGCACGATTGTACGCTGTGTCAGTGCTACTTGGAAACTGGGTTCCGGTGCTTCGCAGCCAGTCACTGGTAAGCGCACCTCGTCGTCATTCCTCTCACCACGCCTCCGTGCCATGACTGTCCTGCGCCCAGTGGCTTGGGAAGCGTGGGTCGCGGAAGCGAAGGTTTGGTTGCGCCTACATCCGCGCGAGTACCACGCGAGGAGCGCCAGCGATCTTTTCCCAGGAGGGCGGCGTTTGCGTTGGTCACTGCGGCTGAAAACTTACCTGGACGAGACCTCGGAGCCCAACCATGCGAACTTTGCGGGCAGTGGACGCATTCCTGGCGCGAGGCTTGTTCGCTGCGGCCGTTCAACGCCGTTTGCACCCTGTGCGATGCCGATCACCTTATCTGTCGACCATGCCAGCGTCTTGGGCGGTCATGGGAAGCGGCCCGCGCCGCAAATACCACACCGCCCGATTGCATCGAACTCAGCCGCTACCACGACCAGACTGGCAGGTTTGTTCAAGTGGACCCACCGCTCCGCATCCCACTGGCGGACGTGTCACCAGATGGCACCCTCGACGCCGCCCAGTTGGCCCAGATGGTCGCCGCCGTGTCTCCGGAGCGGACAACGCAGTGAGAGTCTCCCCGACGCAGGGTGTCACCTAGATGTTCACATGGTAACCAGCTGCATGTCTCATACCAGGAATTCTTCCTCACAAATCCTGTGTGGACGTCGTTTTGCGGAAGCACAACAAGTACTAGACATAGTGTCGGGGAGTCTCTTCCATATACAAGGGCTAGTCGCGAGCTGAACGGCCAGAGCACACTAAAACATGCGCAGTGCCTGCTGCGTGTCACCTCGTGCTACTTTGTTGCATGTTTCTGTAGGAGAGGCGAGAAAATGAGCAGCATAGTGGTTCTTAACTACATCTAGAGCGAATGTCACCCTCAGAGCGCCTGCGCCAACAGACTGTGCATTTTCCGTGGCTGACCTTTCGGTGCTCACAGTGACATTGCAGAAGTCTCCATACAACTTGGGCCAACTACCAAAATATCAACTCAACTGCAGTGACGCATATACTTGCAAGAAGTTTCACGCACCCCACAAGCTTTTGCAATATTCAAATCCCACATGAACCTTTACAACGCAAACAGAGCCTTCTTATGGCTATGCATGCTCTATTTACTACTTTGCAGCCCACTAGCTCGTAGGTCTGCCTCTTTGCCCAGCCATCATGCCAGGGAACCTTGGCATTGTCGACGACCACTTCTTCAGCGTCAACCAGGACAGGTGTGCCTCTGTTGGTCCTATGGAAGCAGGACATACCATGACGACTAGCCAGAGCTCATCCATGAAAGATGGCCAAACCAGTCCATAGCAACCAGACGCTGGGTTGCCCATGGAGAAACCTGGCAGTTTTGGCGAGTGGTCCAGTGGTCCAGTGGATGGGAAGACTGGGTTAGGAACACCAGCCGCAACTTCACAGATGCCTACACCATCCAGATCTGCTTCGGGTGGACGCGCTAGACCCAACCAACTGCGTGTCTCATACCGTGACTTCTTCCTGATAAATTCTGTGTGGACGTCGTTCTGCGGAAGCACAACACTATCTTTTCTGTGTACAAAGACTAGTCGCGAGCTGAACAGCGAGAGTACGCTAAAACATCTACAGTGCCTGCTGTGTGTCACCTCACGCTACTTTGTCGCGTTTTTCTTTGAGACAGTCAATTAATCAATGACAAGCATAGTGGTTGGTTAACTACATCCTAGAAAAGCTGTGTCCTGGAGTGAAGTAACGTTTTTGCCCGGAAGGTATATATCGATGGACGCATCTCCTCTGACAGGTCACTGCTTCGAGACGCTTCTGGCGTGGCTGCCTCAGCATTTTCTGTGTTCATTCCAGCTCGGTTTTTTCAGTGAGATTCCCTGCAGCCGTGCACGCTGCTTCTCCCCTTACCAGCAGCTCACATGCTCATGACGATGAGCTGGGCTGTCACCGCTTGGCCGCCGGTGGGGG